GGGGGAGAGAGATTTGTGGAATTGTGGGTGGAAAAATAATTCTAGGTCATCTGAGGACTTACGAGACCCCAAACCCACTTTTAAATCCCAACTTGCAACATTAAAATGATTTCAGTGTGTGCATCCATCTTTCTCTTTTCCTCCTTCTCTCTCTATCGCAGGTGCCTAACCTGCGGCCCCTCCAAATGTTGCTGGACTTCAGTTCCCGCCACCCCTGGCTACCAGGACTGAGGGGAGCTGGACTCCCCTAACATCTGGAGGCTCCAAGTGGGCCACACCTGGTCTCAGGTGACCAGGCCCGGAGGAAGGGAAGACTCCTCCAATTCTGTGAGCAATGGGGGAACTTTCAGCACACATAATGTGCCACGTCAGGAAGAGATGAAAAGTTGCATCCGATGAAATCAACGCTAGCAGTGAATTAGACTGGGGTGGCGTCAAACATTTCCATCTAATTCAGCGCCATGTTCTCATGGTGAGGAGAGAGACTCCATCAGGCAAGGCCTCCTTCCACCTGCCTTGCTCCACCCTCTAGTCTCTGCTTCTCAATTTGTATTGTATTTTATGTACTGTGGCTTGCCGTTGTTTTATTGATTATAGTTTAGAAATTATTTATTGTAACTGTTGAGTGGATTTCTGTTTAACTTTTATATGTTGATATTATTATTTTATACTGCTCTAATAATTGTTGGATGTTACTTTTTGATGTAGGATGCTTATTTTAAAGTTTTGTTTTATTATCACATTTTTGTATTGCATTAGATTGCTAGATCTTCAGCTTGTAAATTGCCTTGAGTATTGTAAGATAGAAAGATGGTATACAATTTTTTAAAAAAATGATGATGATGATGAAAAGAAGCCCACCACAAGAAGTCAAATGGCTCTCACATGCCTGAGTTTCAGGTTCCTCTGAACATGGAGTTGCCGTGGTTAATCAACCCCTTTGCTTCTCAATGAAATTGTGGCATCCCCTTTTAAAAGAAGCTTAAGAAAATGAAAATGGTGGTGGCATTGCCCCTAGCGCAGCCCTCTTAAGGTCCCGTCACAATGCTTTTGCTTGTCCCAGACCACCAGACAAATGCTCTAGATCAGAGCTTTCCAAACTTCTCATGTTGGTGACACACTTTTTAGACATGCACCATTTCATGAGACCAGTAATTCAGTTTTACTAGCAAACCGGAGGTTAAACTAACCCCTTATAAGAGCATTTGGGTGACACACCTACGCACTGCAGGAGTGGAGGAAGTCATGAAGGGCAAGGGATAAAGTCCCTCTCTGTTGTGCCCAGTTTTACACCTGCAACCTCCTCAGGGCAGCTTCCCGACTTTTGGGTGGTAATATATTACATAACAAGTTCCCAAACGGTGGGATGCAGCAAGTGTTGGCAGGATGCAAAGGTGTTGAGAACAAAAATGACTATTAGGCTATCTGTGGAAAGGAATCAGCTGGGAATGCTTGAAATGGCATTTACTGAGAGGGGAAAATGGTAAAGGAGGAAGGCTTTCCCCCTTTTCATTTTTAAAGATTGTCTTTTCTTAGTAAACAAGCGGCAACAGCCTAGTTCACTCTATGATCCTGTTTTCTACATGGCATCCAATATGGATTCTGGGGGGGAAAGACAACAAGCTGCTGCTTCTCTCAAATGCACATACAGTCTAGAGGAGGAGGAGAAGCTGAGGGCTGTTTTGTTACAATGAAGAGCAGAGGAAATTTTAATCAAAAAGCAGGATAATTTACTAGGAAATAAGACGCTGGGGTGGGGAGCCTGTTTTCAAGATGGCGTTTCCCTGTTCAGTCCTTGGAGGCCATTTTACTTCTCTCAGTTTAGGGAATTAGAAGGAAAAGAATGGGGAAATCCCTCAAGAAAACAGCAAGCTGTTACTTATATAATCTATTGGATACAATAAGAAACTGTGGAAAAGCAACTGAAGTAAGAAAGCCTGTTGAAGGGAGGGAAGGAAGCACAGCCGTCAACTTTTCCCTTTTCTTGCAAGGAATCCTATTCGGAATAAGGGAATTTCCCTTTAAAAAAGGGAAACCTTGACAGCTATGGAAGGAAGTCAATGCTCGGCAGAGTGTGGGGAAAGAATGTGGGTAAATGACTATTAAATTTCACTGTATTTTGTTTGTATTAAAGGAAAAATCAACAAAAAGCACTTAAAAAAAGAAAGAAAACAGCAAGCTGATAGTGGACGGATTGTTTGGCCTTTTTCCAATTTATTTATATTACTATTTATCCACAAATGAGGCACATATTTGCTGGCCACAGTGAACTGGGCTTTGTTAAGAGTGTTTCCCTCACACACTCATGACTTGGGCGGCAATTTCACTTGATGGCTGAGGGGAAAGGTTGCCTTCCAGCGACAAAGAATGGCTTCCCTCAGCGCCCCTGGACTTCCTGCCTCCTTCTAGAGGCACGTGGTCGTGATTCTCCTGGGAACGAATTCCTTCAGCTTAGGGACACCTCAAAATAAGCAAAAGAGGAAACACTGCTTTTAAAAAGAGGACATTTCCTCAGGAAAGGAGAAACGGAGGAGCTGGGTGGGACGGAGAGCAGCCTAACTGGGGATCCAGGCAACATGGCGGATCCTGAGGAGAGTTTAATTCCCAGACAGAAGGCGACAGGAATTGCCATGCAAGCTCCCTCACTCAGTACAGAAGGGAGATGCAGAGGAAGGGGATTTTGTTGAGACTGAGGGAAAGAGGGGGATTTGGTTGAGGGGGGGGAAAGAGGGGGAAATTCCTCAGGAAAACAGCAGCACAGTTCTATAAGTTTCCAGGGTGCCTTTGCTTCCTGCTATTTTATCCACACCGTAGAGACAGGTAGATTCGATGGAGTATTTCCAAAAGGAGGGGAAGCGTTTCCTCCTTATAAGAAGCATTGCCAATTCTTAAGGCAGCAGCTTAGCCCTTAATGAACATGAACTAATTGCTAGAGGGAATCCTTTGGGGAGGCTTGAAGGGGTGAAGACTCAGAAGCCATTTATAGAAGGGGAGAACTTGGTTGGGAGGAGATAAAAATTTGAGTGCAATTTCTTAGGAAATAAGTAGCAGTGGCCTCGCTTCATGTTCCTTTATCTACAGAAAGGTTCAAAAATGAATTCTGAGGGGAGGTTTTTCCCCACTCACAACGTGCCAGACATCACTATTTAGTTCTCTCAGACGCCATTGAGAGGAAGCTGAGGGGGATTTATTTTGTTGGACAAGAAGTGGGTTGGTTTTTTAAAAAGAGAGAGAGGCAGATTTCTCATAAAGAAGGAAGCAAGGGGCAGCCTGCATTGATGGCAATATAGCTCCCTGTTCCTTGGAAGAAAGACTGTTGTATATAAGGAAATAAATGCATCTGCAGAGTGGCTCCAATACAGTATATATATTCTGAGGGAAAGCTAGTTTCTAGCCAGGCTTCCTTCATGACTTGTGGAAAAGGCCATTTCCCCTAAATTCATGAGGGAAAACTGCACTCCAGGAAGGGAAACTCCCAACGTTTCTGTAATCAGGAGAGAAATAATAACTATTTATTTTATTGTTATCATGGTTTGCCGAAGAATTTCTTAGCTCTGTGCAAGTAGTTTTCCTTTTCCTCTTGGTAAATGACATGCAAGCCCTTTTGTTCTAAAAGCAAGTCCATGAGCACTGAGGGCAGCCGTTGCTTGCAGATATGGACGTTTTGCAAATCGAGGGTTTTCTTTAGAAAGAGGGGAAACACCCTAGAAAGTACCCCAGCTTTCAAGGTGTCTGCAGGGCTGCGATTGACATCTCCGCAGTGGTTCCAAAATGCAGTCTGAGGGGAGGCTAGTTCCCAGTCACATCGCATTAGGGGCCTCTGCAACTTTAATTTCTCTCACACACTCATGCCTTGAGGAGGAAGGAAATACTCAGAGGTTGAGTAAGGACAAGGCCTGAGGGATGCATCCAATGCTTTAGTTGCATCTTTTCACTACAAAAGGCTTGTTCCAGTAACCTCGCTGCATATCTGGATGGAAATAGCACATTGGGGGAAGCATTGCTTGCTTTTATTTTATTTTATTTACTTGTACACTCAGTTGATCTTACATGCTGTGCAGAGAGAGATGTGCTTGTGCAGAGAGTGAGGGAGAGATGTATGTGCATCTGTGTAGAGGCTTAAAATGTTGAAGCAATTTTTATCTGTTTTAGTATTTCAACATTTGTATGTTTTAAAGTATGGTGGTTAATTTTTCTCGTATTTATTGTTTTGTCCTTTTGTAAACTGCTTTGATCTTACACGCATGGCACTTATGTATACGTGAGCAAGTAGCATGACCCAAAAGTCCATAAGAAGGGGAAATTACGATGGTGAAGTAACTCCAAATAGTGCAAGAGCCTAATTTCTTGTGTCTTCCCTTCCAGGGCTACTGAGGAGAGGGAGGAATTGTAAAGGGACCAGAAGGTGCTCTAAACCTAGCAGCCCAAAGTATGTCATGCCCTAAGCCACAGATTTTTAGAATATACTGTATATTAAAAGGTAAAGGGACCCCTGACCGTTAGGTCCAGTCGTGACCAACTCTGGGGTTGCGGCGCTCATCTCGCTTTACTGGCCAAGGGAGCCGGTGTGCAGCTTCTGCGTCATGTGGACAGCATGACTAAGCCACTTCTGGCGAACCAGAGCAGCGCACGGAAACGCCGTTTACCTTCCTGCCAGAGCTGTACCTATTTATCTACTTGCACTTTGATGTGCTTTCGAACTGCTAGGTTGGCAGGAGCAGGGACCGAGCAAGAGGAGCTCACCCCGTCACGGGGATTTGAACTGCCGACCTTCTGATCGGCAAGTCCTAGGCTCTGTGGTTTAACCCACAGCGCCACCCGTGTCCCCTATACTGCATATTAGCGCATACTAAAACACAGAGACCAGAAAACAAAAATCAGAGTTTACAAAATGCATTAGAGACCATAGAATATAGTGCTGGAATGTCATGTTGTCCAAACCTGCTACAATGCAGGAATCACAGCTATGCAAGATATACAAAGCTGGTCCTTCCAACTTTGGGGAAGGCCTGTAGCTCAGCGGTAGAGCATCTGCCTTGTGTGCAGTCAGTCCCAGGTTCAATCCCCAGCTTCTCCAGGTAGGACTGGAACTGTTGTTGTTTAGTCGTTTAGTTGTGTCTGCCTCTTGGTGACCCCCTGGACCAGAGCACGCCAGGCCCTCCTGTCTTCCACTGCCTCCCTCATGCTGGTCGCTTCGAGAACACTGTCCCACCATCTTGTCCTCTGTCGTCCCCTTCTTCTTGGGCCCTCCATCTTTCCCAACATCAGGGTCTTTTCCATGGAGTCTTCTCTTCTCATGAGGTGGCCAAAGTCTTAGAGCCTCAGCTCCAGGATCTGTCCTTCCAGTCAGCACTCAGGGCTGATTTCCTTCAGAATGGAGAGGTTTGATCTTCTTGCAGTCCATGGGACTCTCAAGAGTCTCCTCCAGCACCAGAATTCAAAAGCATCCATTCTTCGGCGACCAGCCTTCTTTATGGTCCAGCTCTCACTTCCATACATCACTACTGGGAAAACCAGAGCTTTAGGACTGGAACTACCCCCTGCCTAAAACCCTGGAGGACCACCGGCAAGTCAGTGTAGAGAATCCTGAGCTGCTTCCGTACAGAATAATAATCACGTCTTCAGCACTCCAGATGTTTGTCATTTTCAAGTCAGTAACCTATTTTAAGCCAGTTATTGCACAGGCTGGCGAATGCGATGCATAAAGTAACAATAGACCAAGTAACTATTTATCCTCCTCCTCACTTTTTAAATTTGGGGTTTCGGAGCCTGTATGTAGGTCAGGCCCTTCGTGTAGTAATAAAATCTACGCTCAGATGCCTACGTTGACAGAAACACTCGTGGCCTGGTTAACACATGTTTGCTTGCTGCGTTCCCCCATGCAGCCAATTAACTCAGTGTGCGCGCCTGTGTGTTTAAACATGTGTTTCTAACAGTTCCGATCTATTAACACGCCACAGTTGAGGCACACACAGAGAGAAAGCCGCAACACGAGACTCAGCCCTTCATATGCTTCTGAGGAAGTGGTGGTGCCTGGTGCTCTCAGACCAGCTGTGCCTTCTTCTTCTTCCTTCTGTTTCACACCCCTCCCAGGACACGGCTTTACTCCTTGTTAAACCCGCTCCGGGGCAGGCTGTGGAAATAAGGAGATAAGAAGAGCCAAGGGGACTAGCATCCTCTTCTCACAGAGGCCAACCAGATGTCTCTTTCCGGAAACGCACAGGCAGGGTTCAAGAGCATTCTCAGAAGCACCGCCGCCCGAGACTCGCTGTCATGGCGAGTAGCTATCAATAGCTTTTCCCTCCATGAATCCTCTCAGTCCTCTTTTAAAGCCATCCAGGTTGGTGGTGAAATAAAAAAATTAAGGTCTTATATATATATAATAAATGTTCATAAATGTACCAAGCAAGCACGTACATAGATGTGTGGACCACATGTCTGAGGCAGCACAGGAGGGCAGCCCTGGAGCCATTTTGGCTACCAAACTGGCCAAATGTTTTCTCTGCAAGGTCAAAGGAAAATGGAAAAGCTTCCCCAGTGTCTTTTCCTTCACAAATCCTGTCTTAAGGGTATGTCTGTCTGTGTATGAATAGGGTGAGCCTGTGACCTGGCCCAGGAACTAAGTAGATATCATTACAAAAGACTGGCCAGGCTCCCCAGGGTATCCAATCAAGTGAGCATTAACAGGTCACCTGCCAGACAGGAGATAAACAACGCACTCAGATTTCTGCTGTAGACCGCCCTTTCTTTGATGTAGGTATGATGTATCTGGGGGTGTCTTGGACTCCAAGGCGGGCAATTTAAAATGCCTATATAAGGGCGGGCACACCTGGGTTCTGAGTCCTCCTTCTCCTGCATGTGAGGGGGCACCCTGTTGCAACAGTTCAATAAAGATCAGGCTTACTAGCAGCTTTGCTTCTCAATATTCTCTGCTTGGCCTCTGTTATTTTCTCCAACCAATGGAGAACCTGCAAAGGACTCTATAAGGGCTCCTGTGTCCCCCATAAGGGAATAAGGGCAGATTTTCGTTTATTACAGTGGCCATCACTGCTTCCTGTGGGAGGGAGTTCCACAGTTCAACTAAGTACTGTGTCTGACGAAACACTTTATCTGTCCCGGCTCTTCCAACGAAAGATGGGCCACCGACAGAAGCAGCTTGTAGGATGTGTGATCTTGTGCAAGGTACACAAAGGCTGCGAAACGAATCTGTGCGCCAGCAACCACAGTCGATGAACATATGGTAAAACTGCAGCCCTATCTAGGTTTACAGTGATGGTGATAAGAATACCGCTTGCTATCATGGCTTGTTATCAAAGCAAGTGACATAATCATTGCCCATCATCATGTGAATGAGGTTCTTTTTATGAAGCTGCCTGCAGGATCAGCGGTAGAGCTTGCTGCTACCTTCAGCTGACTGGGGCACTTCTCTTTTTATTGCAGATTTTTTAACAGGGTTTGCATCCTGACCCCCAAGTGTGTGTGTGGGGGGGCACTCTAAGACTAATCCTATTTTAAGGCCATCCAAATTGGGGGCTGTCACTGCCTCCTGTGGAAATGAGTTTCATAGTCTAATTAAGCACTACAGGGCCCCTGAAAGTCAGAGCAGGAATATATTAATCTTCAGGGGAGGGGAGTACCTTGCAAATATAGCAGCCCTATCAATAATTATTGTCTTATCCAGACCTTTCCTTCTTTCTTGCTCCACAGCCTGGATTTTACACCTCCCCTTTCCTCCTCCTCCTCCTCCAACAGCTTCTTCTTCTTCTTTGGCGATCCATTGTAGCCGAGTAAGATTGTCTTCCCTAAGCACAGTTTTAACAATGAGTCCGTAAGTGACTGTGGAGGCCAATTCTGGATCCACATGTCCCTCCACAGTGGGGACATTGGTTTCCGGGCAGGAGTTGATCACAGTGTGGATTTGCCAAGCGTGCCTTCCTCTTAGCACATTTCTCCCTTGCGTCCTTAGTTTGAGTGTCTTCAAAACCCATGACACCTTTGGTGAAGCTGTTCTCCAACTGGAGCGCTCACAGGCCAGTGTTTCCTAGTTGTCAGTGTTTATACTACATTATTTTAGATGCCTGGCGTGCTCTGGTCCATGGGGTCACGAAGAGTCGGACACGACTAAACAACAACAACAAATTTTAGATTGGCCTTGAGAGTCTTTTGTTGACTACCAGCATTATGCTTTCCATTTTTAAGTTTGGAATAGAGTAGTTGCTTTGGAAGACGATCATCAGGCATCCGCACAACATGACCAGTCCAACAAAGTTGATGTTGAAGAATCATTACTTTGACACAGGTGATCTTTGCTTCTTCCAGTACACTGGTATTAGTGTCTTCCCAAGTGATGTGTACAATTTTTTTGGAAACACCGTTGGTGGAATCTTTCGAGGAGTTGGAGATGGCATTTGTAAGTGGTCCATGTTTCACAAGCAGACAGTAAGGTTGGTAGTACAACCTCCAACCGCAATCTGCTCTCAAACACCAACAGTTTCTGAATGGGGGGATTTCTAAGCGCCTCTGAGCTACCCTCCCTCAGCGCCTGCAAAGGATCCCGTAGCATTAATTAATGGAGACACCATCCATCTCCCATGGGAAAGGAAGGTCAGGGGAGGAGAGTCACCAGCGAAGGAGGATATAAACAGACATCAGCGCTCACACAGGGGACAGTCTGTAATTGCTCTCACAAGCTAAAGCGAGTTGCAAATCGGAAGTGTCCTGGCTCAGCTCATTTAATTTGAGAGATACCAATGTTTCCGAGTCACATAAGAGGCCTTGTATGTTGTTCTTGATGTGGAGCAAAATATTCTTGCATGCTCAATTACTTAGCATCCATTTAGTTAACTTGGCCCGGAGCCAGAAATGTTGTGGGCGGAGGGAACATTGTGAGTCAATGGAAAACAGTAAAAGACAGATACAAATCGTCTTACACGACCGGATAATTTAATTTTAAAGAACCTTATTTAATTTGTTTGAGAGCTTCAAGTCATTTGCCTGTGGACTGGCCTCAGACTTAAAAGGGTGATAATAATAGCAGTCATAGGGAATTCTCAGTAGGGAATTGTTTTTGAAAATGCCCCACGCCCCTTAAAAAGAACTACCTAAGAATCCATCATTGATCATTTGCCAGGTTCTCACAGAGTAAAAGACTTCGCAATGGGCTATTTGAAAAATATTTTAAACCTTGGCCAGGCAGGTTGCTAGAACGATGCCACATGCAATGATGTCCAGGAGATAATTTTGTATCCAGCCTTAAATCCACAAGCCTAATGTTGGTGAGGAATTGAGTTGCTCACGTGTGGCTCCCTGTAAGGATCCCTTTTGCAGTTCTAGTTCTTGGTTTGCAGTTCTAGTTTTTCGAGATGGATAATGAGAACTCGGCACATTTCAAAGGGAGGCAGACAATCAAACACACTGTCCTGATAGGGCCAATTTTTTTCCTTTTCAACTAAAAATAAGTGTGAATTGGCTTTTCTAGTTTGGCTTTCTCAATTTCATTGTAAAGTAGAGCAGCCACTGAGAGGATCTGGAAGAATTAAGCCTCTCTCTCTCTCTCTGTCTGTTTCTCTGCTGGCCTGTAAGTTTCCCACCAGCTGGTGGGGGCTTTTTGGAAAAGATGCAAAACAGGCCTGCAAGGGATTTTGGGTGACAAATTTCAGAGCTTTAAAATTTGCATCCTCGGAAGCAAGGAAGATTCTGCTGCAATAAACCCATTTTAAACTTTAATAATGTGCTGCAAGACTCGCATGCACACTCTCTTCTTTTAATAAGGCATTTGGTGAGTTTCTAAACTTAGAAGTCCACAAAGGAGATGATGAGGCATTAAATTCCTCCATGCTTTACACACTCTCTCTCTCACTCTCTCTTTTGGGACCGAGACAGCTGCTTCCATGACTTGCAAAGGCCCCAAAAGTCACGAGCAAAACTCAATCGAAGTACGGTATCTCATTTTCCCTCCGTGAACCAAGCTTTCTGTGGCTAATTGCTGCGCCTTTTCCTTCCCACGGCTGTGTCACTGTTACAAACCCATCCACAAGGAAGCTGCTTTATACTGAGTCAGACCATTGGTCCATCTTGCCCAGCACTGTCTACACCATGAGTAGGCAAACTAAGGCCCGGGGGCCGGATGTGGCCCAATCGCCTTCTAAATCTGACCCATGGATGGTCCGGGAATCAGCATATTTTTACATGAGTAGAATGTGTGCTTTTATTTAAAATGCATCTCTGGGTTATTTGTGGGGCATAGGAATTCGTTCATTTTTCTCCCAAAATATAGTCCGGCCCCCCACAAGGTCTGAGGGACGGTGGACCGGCCCCCTGCTGAAAAAGTTTGCTGACCCCTGGTCTACACTGCCTAGCAATCACTCTCCAGGGTTCCAGGCAAGGGAGTCTTTCTCAGCCCTACCTGAAGATGCCACCAGGGACTGAACCCAGGACCTTCTGTGTGCAAAGCAGATGTTCCCCCACTGAGCCACAGCTCTTCCCCCAGGCTTCTGAGTGGCAAAGGAAACACAATAGCCACCAGCTAGATGGCTTACAGGGCTTGCTAAATTGTTTGCAGCATCACAGAGTGCTGGGGAGTGATGTTCTGTCCACGGGCAAGTTTTGGGCCCAGCCTGACTGTCTTATTATTATTTATTGAATTTATATACCATCCTATACCCAGAGGTCTCATAAAAGGTAAAGGGACCAATGACCATTAGGTCCAGTCGTGGCCGACTCTGGGGTTGCAGCGCTCATCTCACTTTATTGGCCAAGAGAGCCGGCATACAGCTTCCGGGCCAGCAGGACTAAGCCGCTTCTGGTGAACCAGAGCAGCGCACGGAAACGCTGTTTACCTTCCCGCCGGAGCGGTACCTATTTATCTACTTGCACTGTGACACACTTTCGAACTGCTAGGTTGGCAGGAGCAGGGACCGAGCAACGGGAGCTCACCCCGTCACGGGGATTCGAACCACCGACCTTCTGATCGGCAAGCCCTAGGCTCTGTGGTTTAACCCACAGCGCCACCTGCGTCCCTATACCCAGAGGTCTCATACATACTCTCTTTTTATTGGCCACAATACAGTGGTACCTTGATACTCAAACGGCTTTGCTCCTGAAGAAGTTGGCTCCCGAATGCCGCAAACCTGGAAGCAAGTGTTCTGGTTTGCGAACGTTTTTTGGAAGCCGAACATCCGATGCGGCTCCTGCAGGAAGCTACTGCAGCCAATTGGAAGTTGCGCCTTGGTTTTTGAACGGTTTTGGGAGTCGAACGGACTCCCGGAGTGGATTGAGTTCGAGAATCAAGGTACCACTGTAGTTCCCAAAATTCTTTAACATATTTAGCATGCACAGGGTGTTGTCTGTCGTTTGATTCCCCTCACAACACGGCCGCGATTATACGTCCATTTTCCGGTTGGTAAGATGGTTTATTAAGAACTGTGCCTTGTTCCAGCACCTGTGAACAAGGTCCCCTCCCCACAGCACATTCAGAACACATAGCTCTGCCCCCCCCCATAATCCTTAGGCCCTGTAGCTTATCCCTAGCAGAGCTTCAATTCTCAGCACCCTTAACAAACTAAAATCCCCAGGATACTTTGGGGTATGCACACTGTGTGTGCACACTGTGCTCTAAATGTCCTGTGTGGACGTAACCCAAGTCCTTTTATTATGGGGTGTGTGGGGAGGCAACCCTCACAGGCTCAACACCGAGGAGCTGCCAGCAAATGGGAAGACTCAACCAGGCATTTGCAATTTTTTAAAAAACAAAACCAAATTGGCCTCCATTCATGGCTCATATGCAAAGCAGTTCATCAATATGCATGAGGGGGTTCATTCATGAAAAGAAGTCGTTTTGCATACACAGCAGCTGGGCTGCAGCGCAGGGAGGGGGAAGAATTGTGATGAGAGCAATTATTTTTCCCTGTGTCCTGCCAAGAATATTTTCTCACAGACTCGAGAGAAAAGAAGGAAAGCTGGAGTTGGGGGTGGGAGGGTGGGTAGGGAAATAGGAGCTTTCATAGCTTAGGTTGAATATAATCTCCCTTCCTTCCTGACATCATAATTGTCACCACCACTGCCGTCATTAAAGTAATAAGAAGAGCCTGCAGGATCAGGCCAAAGGGGCCCCATCCTAATTCAGAATCCTTTTTCCACAGTGGCCAAGCATGTGCCTCAATGGGAAGCCACAAGGAGGACCTGAGAGCACAATGGCAGTTTCCAGGAACTGGTACTCAGAAGCATCACTGCCTCTGATTCTGGAACAAATCTAAGGTTTTTGATAATAATTTTTATATACATAAAAAAGAGTCACGGGGGAATGATTAATGGACTTCAATGTCTGTACACTAATGCGCAAAGCATGGGAAATAAACAAGATGAGCTTGAGCTCTTGGTACAGCAAACTAAATATGACATAATAGGCATCACTGAAACCTGGTGGGATAAGTCCCACGATTGGAATGTAATAATGGAGGGATACAATCTATTTCAGAGAAACAGACCAGACAAGAAAGGAGGAGGAGTGGCATTATATGTCAGGGATGTGTATACCTGTGAAGAGATCCAAGATTTAGAACCTCAAAGCCAAAGTGAGAGCATTTGGGTCAAAATTAAGGGAGAGAAGAATAACAGTGACCTCATTGTGGGAGTTTACTATAGATCCCCAAGCCAAACGGAGGACATAGATGATGCCTTCCTGGAACAGATGGCCAAGCATGCAAAAGGAAGGGAGATAGTAGTAATGGGGGACTTCAATTACCCGGAGATTTGTTGGATGTCAAACTCAGCCAAGAGCATAAGGTCAAACAGATTCCTCACTGGCCTTGCAGACAACTTCATTGTCCAGAAAGTGGGAGAAGCAACAAGAGGAACAGCCATTTTAGATCTGGTCCTAACCAATGTTGATGACCTGGTTAGTGGGGTAGAAGTGGAAGGATCATTAGGCACGAGTGATCATGCTCTTCTGAAGTTTACTATACAGCGGAAAGGAGCAGCCAAGCATACTAGGACTCAATTTCTTGACTTTAAGAAAGCCGACTTCATAAAACTTAGGGAAGTGCTGGGTGAGATCCCATGGACAGTAATACTAAAAGGAAAGGGAGTTCATGATGGCTGGGAGTTTGTTAAGAGGGAGATACTAAAAGCACAACGTCAGGCAATACCAATGAGATGGAAACATGGAAGGTGCCTAAAGAAGCCAGGGTGGCTATCTAAAGAACTTTTAACTGAGTTAAGATTAAAATAGGATGTGTACAAAAAATGGAAAAGGAGGGAAACCACCAAAGAGGAATTCAAACAAATAGCCAGCACGTGTAGACACAAAGTCAGAAAAGCTAAAGCACAGAATGAACTCAGGCTTGTTAGAGAGGTTAAAAGCAACCAAAAAGGCTTTTATGGGTATGTTCGTAGCAAAAGGAAGAACAAAGAAACAGTGGGGTCACTCAGAGGAGAAGATGGTGAAATGCAAACAGGGGACACAGAAAGGGCTGAACTCCTCAATGCCTTCTTTGCCTCAGTCTTCTCCGATAAAGAAAACAATGCCTGACCTGAAGAATTTGGAGCAAATGATTCAGCAAAGGAAACACAGCCCAGAATAACTAAGGAGATAGTACAAGAATACTTGGCTAGTTTAGATGTATTCAAGTCTCCAGGGCCAGATGAACTGCATCCAAGAGTATTAAAAGAACTGGCAGATGTGATCTCAGAACCACTGGCAGTCATCTTTGAGAATTCCTGGAGAAGAGGCGAAGTCCCGGCAGACTGGAGGAGGGCAAATGTTGTCCCTATTTTCAAAAAGGGGAAAAGAGAGGACCCAAATAATTACCGCCCAGTCAGTCTGACATCAATACCAGGGAAGATTCTGGAGCAGATCATTAAGCAAACAGTCTGTGAGCACCTAGAAAGGAATGCTGTGATCACCAATAGTCAGCATGGATTTCTGAAAAAGAAGTCATGTCAGACTAACCTGATCTCGTTTTTTGACAGAATTACAAGCCTGGTAGATGAAGGGAATGCAGTGGATGTAGCCTACCTTGATTTCAGCAAGGCATTTGACAAGGTGCCCCATGATATTCTTGTAAAGAAGCTGGTAAAATGTGGTCTTGACTATGCTACCACTCAGTGGATTTGTAACTGGCTGACTGACCGAACCCAAAGGGTGCTCATCAATGGTTCCTCTTCATCCTGGAGAAGAGTGACTAGTGGGGTGCCACAGGGTTCTGTCTTGGGCCCGGTCTTATTCAACATCTTTATCAACGACTTGGATGATGGACTCAAGGGCATCCTGATCAAATTTGCAGATGACACCAAACTGGGAGGGGTGGCTAACACCCCAGAGGACAGGATCACACTTCAAAACGACCTTGACAGATTAGAGAACTGGGCCAAAACAAACAAGATGAACTTTAACAGGGAGAAATGTCAAGTATTGCACTTGGGCAAAAAAAATGAGAGGCACAAATACAAGATGGCTGACACCTGGCTTGAGAGCAGTACATGTGAAAAGGATCTAGGAGTCTTGGTTGACCACAAACTTGACATGAGCCAACAGTGTGACGCGGCAGCTAAAAAAGCCAATGCAATTCTGGGCTGCATCAATAGGAGTATAGCATCTAAATCAAGGGAAGTAATCGTGCCATTGTATTCTGCTCTGGTCAGACCTCACCTGGAGTACTGTGTCCAGTTCTGGGCACCACAGTTCAAGAAGGACACTGACAAACTGGAACGTGTCCAGAGGAGGGCAACCAAAATGGTCAAAGGCCTGGAAACGATGCCTTATGAGGAACGGCTAAGAGAGCTGGGCATGTTTAGCCTGGAGAAGAGGAGGTTAAGGGGTGATATGATAGCCATGTTCAAATATAGAAAAGGATGTCACATAGAGGAGGGAGAAAGGTTGTTTTCTGCTGCTCCAGAGAAGCGGACACGGAGCAATGGATCCAAACTACAAGAAAGAAGATTCCACCTCAACATTAGGAAGAACTTGCTGACAGTAAGAGCTGTTCGACAGTGGAATTTGCTGCCAAGGAGTGTGGTGGAGTCTCCTTCTTTGGAGGTCTTTAAGCAGAGGCTTGACAACCATATGTCAGGAGTGCTCTGATGGTGTTTCCTGCTTGGCAGGGGGTTGGACTCGATGGCCCTTGTGGTCTCTTCCAACTCTATGATTCTATGATTCTATGAAAAAGCACAATCTTCTGTATCTGGGTGTCTTTAGCAAGTGTCTTCATGGGCTGTTTGTTTGTTTGTTTACTTTTCTTTTGCTCTTGTGATTAGAGCAGGCAAATGGGTAAAGAACTGGGAGTTTGTTCCCAAATCACAAAGGACAGTCAATGTAATTTCTATAAAGGGGCTGGGGATAAAAGCTGCGCCCATTTTACAGACAAGAACTCCAGAACACAAGAAGAGCCTGCTGGATTAGGCCAAGGAGAGTCCACAGAGTCCATCGTCCTGCTCTCACAGTGGTCGACCAGGTGCCCCAAAGGGATTAAAGGACAAGAGGAC